GAATATGAATTTGTTGAAGAGGAAAAGCATGAGAATTCTGATTTGTTTGGGTACTTTCTCCTCCATGGATCACATAAATCCAGGTCTTGCATGAAACTGTGCAATATTTTTCTACTTTGTACATGAGTCTTATCTGTACCTTTTAGTCTGTCAAGATTTGCCGCCAGGGTTGTGTTGAAGTCCCCTCCAATAAGAAGATGGCCCGGCATCTGAGCCAAAAGTAAAAATAGTTCCTCGAAAAAGTTAGGGTTGTCAGAGTTTGGTCCATACAAATTTACAAGATTTATGCTTACGTCGGTAAGCATTCCTTGAAGTATTAAATATCTGCCTGCCTTATCAGGTGTAGCCTTTAATACTTTGCATGGGACAGATTTGTGAATTAATATTAACACTCCTCTTGCATTAGATGCATATGATGCATCATAAACCTGACCAGGCCATCTTTGAATTTTCAATAGATCACAAGTTAGCAGGTGGGTTTCTTGTAAAAACACAATAGATGCTTTAAGTTGCCTGATTCTATGCATGACTTGCTTCAGTTTTGATAGTTTACCTAACCCCCTTACATTCCAGGATATGAATGTTATCTGTGATTCATTCATCATGTGTCTTCATTATGTATTTCCTCAAGTTTAAGACCATACCCAATATAAACCAGAACAAAAATATAATTTCAACAAAGAGAAATAAAAATGAAAATATTATTTCGTACTGAGGCTCTTTATCGCCGTTAACCCAAACAACCCGGCGTTTAATTCCCCTCCCCTCTAATGTAGAGACCTCAACAGTGGGCGTGACCGATCCTACCGAGAGGAGCATGTCCTTTGCAAGCACACCAACTAACCTAACACCGCTCCCCCTACAAAACAGCCCTTCAAAATATTATATGTACACTGACTCCCTCAGTAAACTGTTCTTTACACACAAGCTGTAAAATATTTAAACTAAACAAAAATTGAACATCTCTGTAAAAACAGGCTTTTCAGGAAGAGTCTCTGTCAAAACTTTCTCAAGATTATTACTGACAGTCTGTCATTTCCTTACCGTGAATTAACAGAGATTTACACAGGAGTTATTCAGTTAAATCCTACTGTATAATGACACCATATTATCCGTTTGACTCTTGGTTTGACTCGATGGCTGATAACAGTTTCTCCACGTCTTTTGGAGAGTCACAGGTCCTCATCTGTCCCTCGAGCATAACGGTCAGCTTAGCTGGGTATCTAAGCCTGTAATCAATGTTCAGCGCTTGTAGGCATTTCTTCACCCCGTCAAACTGTCTTCGCTGTCTGCGCACCTCCATGGAGAAACTTTGTGTTGTTGGAATGACACTGCCTTCATCTTTCTGGCCACCTCCATTACTCTTTGCCGGTCGCAAAAGTTCAGAAACTTCATGATCAGCACCTGGGGATATCTCTGCTCCGTTGTCGGTGGTCTGCCGATACGGTGCGCACGTTCAATAATCACTGGACTCGGCAGTGATGCTCCAAACACTGCAGGTAGCCACTCTTCCAAAAATTTGACTGCATCCGTCCCTTCTGCTTTTTCAGGCAGGTTAACCAATCGTAGATTGTTCCTCCTATGTCAGTTTTCCAGGTCATCCAGTCTGGAGCTGATCATCTCTATCTGGCTCTCATGTGTTTGCACTGTTTTCTGCACTGCTTCGACGTTATCTTCTGCCATACTTATGCGTTGTTCAGCTTCAGATAGCCTACCTCCAAAATCATGGATGTCCTTCTTGATATCTTGGATAGCGGACAGAACTCCGTCAAATTTCGACGAGAAGAAATTTTTCATGTCCGAAATCGCTCTCATCACCTTGTCTCCTTCAGCGTTAGCACCTGTTGCAGCACCTGCTACTAGCTGCAGCATGCTAGCTTCTTCAGTCTTTTCACCTTGTTTGTCCGGCTGTTTTTTCATCGTCGTCTTTCGGTTGGCCATTTTTTTTCCCTTCGTACTGGCTATGGACTCTGTATGTTGTTGATAAATGTTACGTTAGAGTATTAGTAGTTTAATACAGGATTTGGGCTGTTTGCAGGGAGAGCTCCTTCTAACACGTCCTACTTGCTTGCCGCCATGTTGGATCTCCACCTAGTGACCCAAAGTTGACTGTGATTATTACGTTGAGCAGTGCAGCATTTTGGGGCTGTCCCAGACTTCATGAGAGGACTGTTGTAACCGAAAATGGGCATGTCAGAGACTTTCAGCATTTACTCTGCATCAGTCACCTGGACAAAAGTCTAAACAGTCACCTGAAAGGGGCCATCACTGGCAATTAAATGATAAAATACTAGTGGGTGTTTCTACACAAGCAAAGTATGGATACTACATTTCCTTGTTCACAGACCTCAGATACAATGTTTGTTTAATTTTTCTAGATAATTATATCAGCTGGTTAGACAGGGCAACAATCAAGGGTCTTTTCCATTGTCATATTTTGCTGCACCAAGTCAAGCCATGCCGTGTCGTTTCCATTATCAGTTTAGATGTGCTGTGCTGCGGAGTTGTGCCAGAGATGGACGTTCTCCGGAGTAGGTCCAAAAGCTAGGCTGCCCACCCTCAAGCTGGTAGCAGTGATGTCTTGCCAATCGCAGCCAACCACTGACGACCCCGCTTCTCCCGTCAAACAAGCTTGTTGCGAGACTCTACTCACCTCTGTCTGCAGGAGACCAGAGAGAAAGGCGTTTTAAAAGTCTCTGTGTGGTCAGCTCTTAGTACTTATGTGGCTTATTACTGAATCTCTGTTTCATGCTTGCAATCAGTTGTATTAGAAATTGTGTGAAATTGCTGCTTGAAAACTCAACATTTCCTTATTTTGCTGCTTTACGATAAAATTTTTTACATAACTAAATAATGGGGGACTTTTATTGTGAAGAATCTATAGGAAATGAAATGTGTTTATCACTGAATTAGCAGAACTTTCTTAGCGGCTTTTCTTCAATAAAGATAAGTCTTACGATACTGCAGGGAGGAAGAGTAAAATGAGAAACAGTCACAGTGAGACGTTGATGAAGAGCTGCAGACAGCAAGCTCTTACTGTACCTCTGCAAACAGCTCACCTTCATCAGGTAAACTTCTTTTACCTGCCCTGCTGTGTGATGGAATAACACATGCAGCAAAAATGACAGGGGACTTAAAGGACAACTTCGGTATTTTTCAACCTGGGCTCTATTTCCCCATGTGTATGTGTGCGTATGATTCATGGGTACAACTCGTTCTAAAATTGGTTCAGTATTGAGGGAGCCGGCAGCCGCGAGGTAGATATGGGGGCAAATGCGTCCCGTATAAGTTTGCGCATTAAAAGTGTTTTTTTTTCGCCACTGACCAGTTCAGATCTCCAGTGGTATCCCTGTAAATAGCATACTAGCGTTTCCCTGACCCTTCACCTCTTCCCGGCTGTGACGTCATCTTGCAAGAGCTTTGCTTGTTGATGGATGTTGACGATATATACAAGGGCAAAGTATGCAACAGTAAATGTGCGTCTCGGAGACAATTCTAGGTATCAGTATTACATGTATAAAGACATTTTAGTTATACTTATATATACCTACTTATGGATAGTTGACCATTTGGTCCGTGTGGTTTTGGCTGCCTCCTCCAATTTATTTTGGGCACATGAAAAAAGGTATCCAGCACTGCCCTGTTGATCAGAGGGGGGAAATCCTCTAACGTAGTTACACAGCATTTGGTAGTTTCTGTATCATCCCAGGACACATTGAGACCATGAATATTGGGTAACAGGTCCCACTCATTGCAACACAGACTTTCTTCCTCTGTGGGCATGGAGTCACAGCAAGGAGCACCACCAGTCCTCAGAGATTCGCGTTCGTGCAGCCGCTGCTTCACCCTCATCTGCTCGTTGGCTGTCTCTCTCTATCCCCGTCTGCTCTTCAGTTTGTAGGAGCTCCTCGTCTGTATACTCGGGCTCAAATAAGTACGGGCGGCTATCGTAATAAAAGGTCTCATCCTCATTCTCGAAATCGGGTAAATATGCAGTCATGATACCGATGCAGTAAAACTCTCAACTGTACTCCGGGACAACCAGCGCCACTCTGAGCGGCGCTCAGCATGGCTCCTCTGTTTTCTCCCAGCAACAAACAAAGCTCTCGCAAGATGACATCACAGCTGGGAGGAGGTGAAGGGTCTGGGAAACGCTTAGTATGCTATTTACAGAGATAACACTGGCAATCTGAACTGGTCAGTGGCGAAAAAAGCACTTTTAATGCGCAAACTTATACCGGACGCATTTGCCCCCATATCTACCTCGCGGCTGCCGGCTCCCTCAATACTGAACCAATTTTAGAACGAGTTGTACCTATGAATCATACGCACACATACACATGGGGAAATAGAGCCCAGGTTGAAAAATACTGAAGTCATCCTTTAAGCCGTGGATCAGCCTGCTGCTTTTAAACATCATCGCTCAAGACAAACCGTTATCAGTAAAAACACACCTTCAAGCAGTGTTGAAATGGAAATTCAAATCCCTGCAGCGCTGGGCTGATGGCCCAAACCAAACCAGCACATGACTGTTTGAAAAGGGGTTAAAGGGGTATCGGTGTCTCCTCCACACATATTTCTTTGCTACTGGTTGAGCATGCAACTTCACCGCTCAAACTTAACCAAAGTTGAACTCCACGTGATGTGAAGATGTGAGTTTGCTTTTCCACTGGAGGCAAATGTTTTATTTGCCCCTCTGCTCACACTGAATGGAAGTGAACGGGCGGCAAATATTTGCTGGTGTTAATTTCGCTCATGTGTGACCATACACTTAGAGTAGCCTTACATTATGGCACACCTGTGTAGCTGTTTAATCAGCATCTTAATATGCCACACCTGTCAGGTGAATGGATCATCTTGGAAACTGAGAGATGCTCACTAACATGGATTTTTGTCAGCGTAAGTTGCTGAAGTAGGCCTACCCTCAGTAAACTGGTGTTTACATAGCCAGGGTGTTCATCATGTTTCACAAGCTCAATACAAATACACAAGACACATGGTGCTGTATGTAACTTTATTAAGAATGCAGAATGCAGGGAGTGGATATGATGTGTGTGTATGTGTGTGTCACTGCACACCACAGTCATCTAGGGAGTGCATGTCCCTTTCCATGCCACTTTCACATTCTTCCTCTTTTTTCTGTAGGAAAGAAGAACATAGCATTACAGCATATTGTGGTTTGGTTTATGTGTACGATCATGTGTGTACTTTATGCGTGTGAGGGTGTTATTGTAGCAATAATACTAGCAGAAAGAAATACCCAAACACAAGCAGAAAAAGGTGTAGCTACCTACATTTTTGTGATTTTCCATCTAACGAGTATTGACTGGCAGCTCTGTAGCACTGCTATCAGTGTTGCAGTGTGTCATGAAACAACAACAGGAAGTAAACACTGATGTCATAAATTAAATATTCTGTTTGTAGCTAACATTATTATAATGGATGTGTGTAATCCTCATCTTAATATTTTATCACTGGGTCTTTGCCAGTATCAGTGTCCTGCCTGTTCCTTTAAACAAATGTATAGTGATGTGATGTTAGAGCCTGTGGGGAACAAACACATCATTTTAGTAAGCAGCCTGCACCAGGCTAATCTGAACACAGCAGAATTTATACTTGTGTGTCAGCATTATGCAGAGCCCACACTGTGGCCCTTTGCTGTTGTGAGCATTTCTACTTCTATAGTGGTGTGTCTGTGTTGCTTTGCAGTTACACCTCCAAACACTAGTCGGTGGTGGGGTTTCTGCGAGGTGCTGTAAAGTTTATTTGATTCAAAACACACCCAAAACACACATGAAACATGGCTTAATAGCAAAGATTTCAAACCAAGTGGCACATTTTCCCCCAAAATACAGCATGCTAATGTTGTTATCACAAGGCTATAGCATTTTATATTGTATAAATTAGCCTAGTGACTAGCAGGGATTTCCTCTTCTCATGTGAAGCCAGGATAAATCACACACAAGACTGAAGTCTAAAAAGCTATTTTGTGGGGGCTTTATTGTCTTCACAATTTATTGTTTCTCTGTGAAATAAAGTAAATAAGGAGGGAAATGGTTTCAGCTTACAAAAGTAGACAGGAGGTCTGTATGCAGGTTGGGGATAGGTTAATTGGTGACTCTAAATTGTCCATAGGTGTGAATGTGAGCATGAATGATTGTCTGTCTCTATATGTTAGCCCTGTGATAGTCTGGTGACTAGTCGTCCCCCCCCCCCCAAACAACAAAAATATTTGTTCATTAGTGAGACACTTCACTGTTTATTAGCAGAATTTGTGCCACCACAGCATTTTAAGCCAAAACATGATCTTTTCCTAACCAAGTGGTTTTTGTGCCTAAACCTAACCACACGTTAACCACAGCATTGTTGAAATGAAAAGTTTCTCCAACTATAAAAGGTGATAACAGCATTCTGAATATAGTCAGTGTAGCAGAAGTCTTAGCACTGATAATCTCTACTAACACCTATTTAATAGTGATAGCATTCGAAATGTGTGCAAGCCCAAAGATTAAAAAGTATGTTATTTAAAAAAAAGTGTGCCACAAACCATTTTGTTTCCTATCATTTCTTTAATTAACAAACAACACTAATCATCTCAGCAAGTTGACACTGAATCCCTCAGATCCACTAAGTTTGAACCAATCTGATAGCAACCAATCAAGTTGCAGGAGAGAACCAGTAAGAACTAACAAATACATTGAGCACCAGCTGGAAAAAATGATACCAAAGACCATTTTGTTCATGTAAAGTGGTGGTAAACAAAAACGTATTGCAGTATGCAACAACTTCCCACAAACTTGTATTTACAAGTACAAATTTTAAAAAGCAGTCATGATATTTTGTAAATGTAATATATTATTACTCTGTGGTGAAAATGGCATTGCAGGGTTATGGCCGCGAGCTAGAAAGTCACGTTCAACCCTGCTCCGCTATGAACTTGAACAAATCCTGATGTAAATTGCAAACTTCATCTTGAAAAGTGTAAGTGAACGTTGGACTCATCATGGTGATGCCAAATCCTGGGAAAATGAACAGGGATAGAGGGAAAACACCTATACAGGTGAAGTTAACTGGCTTTGGGACGCAAAGCATGGAGCACAAAGCTAGCAAAGATGCTAACCTTGACATAGGGTCTGCGGAGGACTGTGAAAGCGAGCTCTGTGGGGCTAAAGAAGAAATACTGATGGCAATAAACAACCTGAGGTCCAAATTTTTGACCAGACTGGATGGGATTCTGACCGCAGTTGAAGAAACAAAGAAAGAACTGGTTGATTGCACTGAAAGAATAACAGTGGAAGATGAGCAGGCTAAGTTAAAAGTGATGGTTCAAACGTTGGAAAGACGGAACAAAACTTTGGAGGAAAAAGTTATCGATATGGAAACGAGATCGAGGTTAGTAAATTTGCCTGAGGGAGCCGAGGTCCCAGATCCCTGTTCATTTCTGGAGGGCTGGTTACCGGAGGTGCTGGACCTGGCCCCTTTGCGACGCCCATTAGTGTTGGAAAGGGCGCACCGCGTCGGACCAAGACGGGACACTGAAGAGCCACCGAGAACTTTGATAATGAAGTTTCAGAGCTATAAGCAGAAAATGCTTGTGATGAAGGCAGCCAAGGCGAAGAAAGACGTCCTTTACAAGAACCAGCATGTGCGATTTTACAAAGACCTGGCAACTGAAGTGCACAGACAACGGAGGAAAAATGACACAGTGCACCAGCAGTTGCGAAGCCTGGGACTCAGACACAGCATAATAACCCCAGCTAAACTGGTCCTAACACACAGAGCTCAAACACACACCTTCAACATGCCGACAGAGGCACAGGAGTTCATAAACAGGATCAAGAAGAAGCTGGAGGAATCAATAAAGAGGACTGAGTGATAGCTATTAAGCGCACAGTGTAAGCTTAATATTATGTTTACATCACGACAGATGCAAGATCATGCACACGGTAAGAGGGACTGTGCAGTAAAAGACTAAGGCACTTTCTGATCATTTAATATGTTACATTGAGTCTTGCACTTCATTCTATTATCTTAATATAGTCAAACTCTAAGGACCATTATCATATCATATATTAGTCTGGTGTACACTGTTTACATAGACTTGTTGACTCTGCTGCTGTTAATCACACCTCTGTTATCACTACTCACTTTACCATGTCACTTTTTGTTTACAGTACTCTAGTTTTTTTTATTCTATTCTTATTCTAGTTTATGAAACTCTTACATTTCTGTATTATTTCTGTTACTTTTTCCAGTTATCTGTATCTATGTATATCCTTGTACTACTGAAACAACTAAATATCCGTGCTAGGGATCAATTAAGGTGTATCTTCATCTTAACTTCAATCTACAGTGCAGATCCACATGCCCACAGTGATTGAAATTTTAGGCTGAACTATAAGGCATACAGGCACAAATATTTAAACCACATGTTCCAAAGAGTCATATGGTCATCAATATCTCCTCACAGAGGAGCAATGTACTTATAAAGTGAGGTTTTTCCATCAGCAGACTTTGACCCTAACACGCTGATGTGGGTGTATCCAGTTGCAGCCTGCTAGTCCCAACATGGTTGGCACGTAAATTTTTGTGATCGAAAGTTCTCAGAAGCCAAAACAACTAGATAAACCTGAGAGCAGACTCTAACATACATGATCGAATGAGACAGTTTCACAACCCTACACATACATAGGCAAATAATATTGCTACAATAATACCTGTGTGTGTGTGTGTGTGTGTGTGTGTGTAGGTGCATGTTACATGCCTGTTTTCCTGGCATAGAACACATTTGGTGCTGTAGGTCTGTCCATCAGTGCCACATACTGGATCAAGCTCCTTGGTGCAGACTGCTGTATACATCTCACAGTCAGGCTGGACACAAACACAGGTTGTCACATGATTACTGATTAAACACTCAGGCATTTAGATTTGGATCATTGTTCATTGGATCATATTCAATTCAATTCAGTTCAGTCCAATTTCATTTATAAAGCCCAATATCACAAATGATCCCTCACAGCGGATAAGGAACCCCCCCCCCCCCAAAAAAAAACAAACAAAGCTAGAAACCACAGGAAGAGCAACTGAGGATGGAAATGGAGACCATGCTTCAAGCAACATCAATGCTAACCCAGCGGCTAATGCAGCACCAAGCTAATCTGGCCAAGCCAACAGACCAGGAGGGTCGGGCATGAAGAGATAATTTAAGGATTTACGGGATACCGGAAGAAAAAGAGGGCAGATCAGATCACCCCCAGCAGTCTCACCTCTCTTGTTGTCATCTTGTCATTGTTGTCTGGAGTCACAGTCTCAGCCTGCAGGGACAGGACTACACACACACACACACACACACTTGTAGTTCTATACGTGTGAGAACCATCATTGATATAACACATTCCCACACGTTCAATCCCAAACCTTACTCTAAACCTAATTCTAACCTGAACCTTGAAAGCAAGTCTGAACCCTCAGAGCCCTTTGAAGAATTGAGAACTGGACAAAAAGTTGTCTTTGTAAAAATGCTATTATTCCCAATATGCACAAACACTCTCTCTCTCTCTCTCTCTCTCCCTCACCCTTCACCCAAAACAAGTCATTCTGTGAGAATGTAATGTAACCAGCTTTTTGTCCAGAGGAATGTAACCTGGCCAACTCTCATGTTCCTCTGAACGTCCTCTGTTTTTGTTGATCTTTGTGTTTTGCTTCTGTCTGGGGAAACAATGTTAAAACTAAAGATGCTACTTTTAGCTGTGAAAAAAGAAGTGTCTCAGGACTAACTTTCAGTCTACAGCGTGATAAACCTTAAGTTAATTCTTAATAAGCCATGTTGGTATCATGGACAGTACTGACTTGTGTCAGTTAAGTTCCTGAAGTTACTGAAACTGTAGGAGACAACCCATTGTGGGAAAGGTTGTAATGTCGTAATCATCTGGTCTGAGTTCATGACAGGTATCAGTGTTATCTGTGTGTTATTTGATTAGTAATCATTTCTTGTTAATCTAGTTCAACTCAGCCATGGGAACATAACACCTGAACCACAGAGTTAGTGTCTTTAGAAAACAACAATTGAGAAATTAAAGTTATGTCATGTCACGGCCTCTAAACACATCTATTTTTTGCAGTCCAGACACTAACTTTTTACAGTGTGAAGATGCAGTTCTCATTATTTAAGGCATTTTTAAAATCTTTTTTTGACACAGAAAGAAGTTAAGCAGTTTAATCCTATATGCTGTGATGCCCAATCATAATGTTCTTACACATTCCAGTCTCTAAACAATACACTGACAAAAAGTCCCAAAAAATCCTAATTATTATTGTTGTCTCTTAAATAGCGATGATGTGAAGGTGATGAAGAAGTCTCCGATGACACCATCTTGCTTGCATAAAAAAAGGTTTATTATAAGAAGTACAGCATCTATCAAACATCTAGGATGCTTGGAGAGGTTCGAAGCCAATGTGAACTGCTCTGAAAGACAGCCCCAAATACCCTGCTTATATAGACCTGGTGGTGTTTGTGAAATGTGAGACAAAGTCAAACAGATGACAAAGAGACATTCTTGTTGGATTTTTCCAACCCTACACCTACGCTATAAATATCTTCTTTGACCCTGACCATATATGTTTTTTACCCTGAGCCCCTTACTGGTCATCTGTTCCAAACCTTCAGAGTGAATGATAATACACTACATTATCTTTTTTAAAAAGTGGTTAGATATTATTTAATCTTTTACCTTTTTCAGTTAGTAATTTCTGCAATTTTTTTGACAATGATGGAGTGTTCGGCTTTCTTGTGTACTGTTTTGATATGCTACAAATACCAGTGTTACAACAAAACTACACTAGGAACAAGTGGACACTTCCTACACTTTGAGCTGTTTCTGCTTCAAAAGGAACACAGTGTTTGAAGCAGATAGTGACACAGAGTGACTTGTTACGATCATGTTACGATGCTGTTAATGAACTCACCAGAGACAGAGAGCAGCAGAGCAGAACACAGCAACACAGTCAGCTTCATGGCATCCAGTGTGTGTACGTGTTTCTGTGGGCAGCAGGTGTGTGTCTCACATATTATGTTTTCCTTTAACAGACAACCTGTCAAACTGGCTTTTCAGTCAGGACTTTAGCTGTGCTGTGATTGGCTGGATTGTAAAGGCCAGGTTATAATCATCTGGGCCCTTTGCAAAGCTTCCTAGTGCAAAGAGTTGCTCCTAGGTACAAAATTCTAAGAAAATTCTTATTATGATATTTTCTAAGAATTTCCTCCTAAAATTCAGTGTAGGTCCTGGTAAAGATAAAAGTTTTTCACAAAGCATTTCAGCCATGAAAAGATCTCCTCGGGTGAAAACTGTTAGGAGTAGGCAATAGGTTTTAGACTTTCTTAAGCGGAGGAGAAAATGGTGGAAAGACAAAGAGAGAGAATGAATATTCTCCGAACACTGGATGACAGTGGATTAATGAAATGCTACAGATTAGATGCAAAGAGAATGTTTGTCAGTCTCATTAGGGATGTGCTCCCACCCACATGAACATTAACGTCAGACATAAAGTGAAGACAACACTAATGTATTTGCCACTGAAAAATGCAACAGTGCAGCAGTGATGACTTGTGTCTGTCTCAGCCTTCCATCAGCAGTCTCCCACTGTGACTCAGTTAATTTCATTTCCACTGGATGTCCACACCCTGCAGACTCACAAAATGACAACCAATCACACCTTTTTTAAAGAACATGTCATACTGAGCAAAGAGGTCCACCACACTTTCTCACAGGACCTGAGGGTTAAAGTTTCTGTCCCTTTCTGGCTCAGAGTTGCTGAGAATTTTTCTAAATCAGTTCCAAGCTGGGACTCCTTGCTAGAATTTTTAGACTTAGGGTGCTTTCAGAGCCTAGAGTTTGCTTGCTTTGGTCCAAATCAGGGACTAATTTTGTTACAAAGTTGCATAATTGCCTGGAGTTGGTTCGTGTTCTCACGGCAGCATTTACAAGCAGACCAGATAAGATGCCTTGCGTGAGCAAGCTGCTTTTGATTGGTTAGAATTTCCATGTGGTAAAAATTCAGCAAGGAAACAAAATGTTGAAGAAGAGTGTACTTGCAACAGGATGCAACACTTTCTGATGTCACAATGGAAGGACAACTACGCAGGCTGATTTTAGCACTGGTCATCGTGTACTATATTGCATACATTGTTCATTTTAGGCATACCATACAGTTTGAAAACAAGGCTTGGCTCCAACTAGAAAACAATGTTTTGATGCACTGGATGTGGGGAATGTGCATATTAAGGCAGTACAGGAGGAGGCGCACATTAATAATCCTCCAGGACTTTAACATGCTCATGCGTGTTTAACCCAAACAATGTGTTATGCAACTGCCATTGGTTCAGACTGAGGTGGAAACACGTTCTCACCACAAACAAACCGCACCAAAGTTGGTTTGTAACCAGACTGAGACCACCTCTCCAAGAAGGTCTCAGTCTGGTTTTTTAGGTGTGCACCCTAGTACGCTTGCTGTGTTCACACCTGCCCAAACGAACCACACTTAGGGGGCAAACGAACATGAGTTTGATTGAACCGAGCCAAACAGGGGAGGTGTGAAAGCACCCTTAGTCAGGAGCTCTCTGGGAGTGCTCTCAGAAAGTTTGTGAATATAGCCCCTGATCATCTGATAACATGACTGGATCAAAATAGTAACAACCTGGAAAAACAAATATCTAGTTTTAGCTGGCTCGTCAACTGAGCGGGAGTTTTTTTTGTTTTGTTTTTAAGTGAAATGAGCCATTCAAAAGCACAGTGGTGTCTTGTTTTCCATTGCTGCAGCGGCTTGACTACAAGTAATGGCGCGTTGCAGAGACGAAATAGTAGGATGCGAATAACATGATAAAAAAAATGCCCTATTTTCAGTACTTAGTCATATCGCGATTAATGCATAAACACTGATAGCCCTAGTTTTAACCCCTAGCACCTACAAATATGCAACATGGAGGGGGATTGGGGGGGATTAGGACCAAAAGTTCTGTCTGTCATTCATTTCACCATTTGACAGTTCAAACGCCCAGTGTCTGTAATCATCATTTGATTTGGTCCAACTTCAATTACATAACCATAAGTAAGTACTTAAGTCAGATAAAACCAAATCAGTGCTGTTCACCAAGGCTATTCATACTGCTGCAAATGGCACATCCATAGAGAGTCCCACAGTATAAATACCTTGGTATCTGGCTGGATGACACTCTTAATTTTAAGCACCATGTTGACAGCATGACCTCCAAATTGACAACAGTACTTGGCTTTCTGTACAGAGACAAGAACTGTTTTCCTTTTGTTCATAGAAAAAGAAGTGTAGAATCTATATTTTTGTACGTTTTGGATTATGGGGATGTTCAAATCACTGGATGCTGTCTACCACTAGCCCTAAGGTTCATAACAGGTGATTCTTACAGCACCCATTGTTGACAGCTATACCTAGGGGTCGGCTGGCCACATTTGGCGAGACTAGCCTTGGTATTTATAAAGCTTTGATACAGATGCTTTCACCTTATATTTCATCCGTTTTGATTCTGATCTCACATAATCTTCGTACTCGCTCACAGAGCAGGTTGTTGCTTCATATCCCCTAAATCAGAACTGAACTAGGAATAATCTCATTCTCTTACAGCGTGCCTTATACATGGAATAATTTGCTTGTTTAAAATTGGTACCTCTGCCACCCTTATGGCTGTTTAATTGCCTAATTTCAGATCTTGTTCTAACTGCTTTAACTGTACACCTTCACCATAACATGTATATCATCCAGTATTTCTACGTTTAGCAATTATATATTGCTATTATTGTTTCAATTGGTTTGCATGATAGTTTTGTGTGTGCATTGTTTTTATTGTCTTTGTTCATGCTCGGCATCACTGAAAATGATGTTCTCTCAATTGATTTCCTGAGTCTTTTCTATATTTATGTCTATTTGTAGTGTGTTTTTTCTTATCTTATTTATTGTGTGTGTATTTCTTGACCTGCTGGTGTGCCGCTGCTTATTTTTGCCCTTACATAAAGTTGTATTGAATTAAATGTGTGATACTATGCAATTACTGAATCACTGTAATGTGTTTTTCCTTGCCATTATATTTGGGTGTGTGTTAAATGTGAATCAGCAGTAGGTGGTGCCAGCGGACTGAGTAACACCTTCATGTAAAACAGCTGAAGAAGGCAGCAAGGGAGAGAACTGTGCAGTGCAGTTCAGAGGGTTTAACACCAATTAGACATTACACTGTGCATGTGCACTACACTTGTGTGACAATGTACTGTCAGTTTTGCAGTGGAAAAAAGTGAGTGTGGTAAAAACCAGTGGCTTCTCCTCACTAACATACACACAAAGAAGCCTCATGGAACAAAATGCAGTTAATGTTAATATCAGTGACTTTCCCGTATTTAGTGAAATATGGCGCACAAAAACAAAACAAACCTCGAACAGTGCAATCTGTGCACTGTTGCAGCTGGAATTTGTGTCTGTTCTGTAAGTTACATTTTACTGAAACAACTTCCTGTCTAATATTTGTTGGAAAAAATGGCCACCAACGTCTTTTGACATTGATATTTGGTTGACTTTAGGTTGTGACGTGATGTGACCAGAACTCAATGTCAGGACAACGTCCAAGTGCCACTGTTGGAATTTGAAAGAACTGGCAGCAGGGTTGCCATTATGTTACTGTAAAATTAACACTTTTACTGTTGCTAAAAATAATGATATTGTACTGTTAATGACAACTATGGTATGAAATGTTTTTTGAATACTATTTCACAGTTAACTTAAGCAAGAATGAAGAAAGTATAAGCAAATTTTTAGCAGTTGGTACAATATTTTTGTGTTTGATTTTGAGTTGCTGCCCAGTGCGTTTGGGCCCCATCAGATTACAGCTGAATTAGAGGATACAGCAAATTATATTAAAATATATGAACACTGTTAAGATATAAAAAATGTTTCTATATTTTCTGTAGATTGGACACGCATTAACACATCACACAACATAACGTCACTTCACATTACCTATTAACACGCTCAGCAGTGTTTTCCCATCACACCTCACGCTGTGTAGCTGCAGCTGACCTAATAGATTTTTTATTCATGTCTTGGTTTGCGGTCATCAAAATCTCCGATTCAGTTGGGATGAAACAAGTGGCTTTCTGCTTTCTGCCACTGAAAATCACGTTATCTGCACTCCACTTATGATGGCTTGTGGTGCTCGCCATGAACGCGCTTCCCTAAGGCTGAACATACTCAGAGTTGATTGAACTAATTCTGATCAGCTGTTCTGGAACTGAAAACTCAGAGGCTGTGGTCGAATAATCTTTTTTGCATCCGCCGTCGCATAATTATGTAGCCCAGTATAAGTGCAGTTGGATTCTCTCAGCACCACAGTTGTCTTTTCCTAAGTCCTTATGAATTCTCCTTCACATCTTCCCTTGACCTCGTGACGTTTTCCATTGAGGTCAAGGAAAAGTGGTTAGGAAAAGACGAGAAAAGAAGATAGGAGGGACTTTTCGACGACAGCCAGAGTTTCCCAGCTCAGGCTCAGTCAACATGGAAATTGGGATCAGGCTCAGAGTGACAGTGATAACGTTAGATAGTAGCGTTAACTTTACTAGTGTTGTTTATTAAATAGCGATGATGTGAAGGTGATGAAGGAGACTCCGATGACACCGTCTTGCTTGTATACAGAAAAGGTTTATTACAAGAAGTACAGCATCAAATCAAGCATCTAGATTGCCTGGAGAGGGTTCGAAGCCAATGTGAACTGCTCTGAAAAACAGCCCCAAAATGCCCTCATTATATAGACTTGATCGTGTTTGTGAAATGTGAGACAAAGTCAAACAGACGACAGAGAGACATTCTAGTTGGACTTCACCAAACCTTGACCTGGGGGATAACATTAATATTTCAGAGGCTACGCTACAGTAGGCTAATGTTAGCCATTAGCAACTGGATGTTGTGTTGTCATAACGTTATAGCCTATAGCCCCTTTTACACTTCCAGATTTTTTTTTTTTGGTTTAAAAAGAACGAGGCACCCTTCCGCCAGGGAGGAGCTGTTGATGACTTGTGCGAGGAGCTGTTGATGACGCTGCACGTGTGACCCACTGGCGGTGGACTAACAGGAAACAATTGATAGCAGGAATGAGCAGCTAGTAGCAAGAGGGAAACGCAAACCTGACAGACACTATGAAGGTGAACAAATGGGGAAACAAGGAATTGCGCACCCTCCTTGCCCTCACAAACAAAGAGGCCATTAACTGTCAAATGACGGGACGGTAAAGGGTGGGCTAACTTATGAGAGAATCACCGAAGCACTGACCAGCCGCAGCTTCCCTCCCACGTCACTGTTTATATCACACGCTGAGCAACACATTTTGTTACTTGCTCACGCCCCACATTGCTCCGAAAAAGGCAAATTCTGTATGAACAAAAGTAGGCAGGCGACATTTTGCTGCACTCCCCAGTTTTGTTTTTATACTGCCATTACTGAAAAAAGACTGATTGGGCTTTCCTGCAAATTTGCACAATTCCTATTTAAAAAGGGCTTATGTTACATTAGAGGCAAACTAAAAATACCTGTCCAGCAGAAACTCTGGTTTTCTTAGAACCATTTGAGAATGGTATAATTATGAGTTTGTATCTCTGGTGGAATTCGCTTACATTTTAGTGTGCCATCAGCTTATTAATAGCATTTTAACCTAAACAAAGAAAAGCGTAAAATTTCCAGAAAAGTAAGTGTTGCTTTTAAGACACACCTTCAAGCAGGTAACCCTGTTGGAATGCAAATGCAAATCCCTGCTGCGCTGGGCTGACGGCCCAAACCAAACCAAGTCAGCTCATGACTGCTGAAAAGGGGTATCAGTACCTCTTCAGCACATACTTCATGGATATTGGTTGAGGCTGTGATTTTGCCTGTCAAACTTTACCAAAGCTGGACTCCATGCAAAGATTGTTTGCTTTTCCACTGGAGGCAAATGTTTTATTTGCCCCTCTGCTCACATTGAATGAAAGTGAATTGGAGGCAAATATTTGCTGGTGGCTAGTTTTTCATTGTGATCATCCCAAGGCACACCTGTGTAGCTGTTTAATCAGCATCTTGATATGCCACACCTGTCAGGTGAATGGATCATCTTGGAAAAAGAGAAGCGCTCACTAACATGGGTCTGAACACATTTGTTAGGAAAGACAGAGCTAATAGAGCACAGTCAGAGCACTCTATTATATCGTTTATTTCAGCTTGTGAAAAACAAGAGCAAAAACAAAAGTGTTTCCTTTATATTTTTGTCAGTTTAAATTGCTTAAGTAAGTACCACCAGTACAGACTGGTCTAAACTGGTGTTTACATAGCCAGGGTGTTAAAGTTCCAAAGGATGAAGAGAGATCCCACATGCAGGTCAGGGTGTAAATGAACTTTGTGTTACATTTACCAGAACTATTATCATGTTTCACAAGCTCAATACAAATACACAAGACACATGGTGCTGTATGTAACTTTATTAAGAATGCAGAATGCAGGGAGTGGATATGATGTGTGTGTGTGTGTGTGTGTGTGTGTCACTGCACACCACAGTCATCTAGGTAGTGCATGTCCCTTCCCATGCCACTTGCACATTCTTCTTCTTGTCACTGTAGGAAAGAAGAACATAGCATTACAGCATATTGTGGTTTGGTTTATGTGTACGATCATGTGTGTACTTTATGCGTGTGAGGGTATTATTGCAGCAATAATACAAGCAGAAAGAAATACCCAAACACAAGCAGAAAAAGGTGTAGCTACCTACATTTTTGTGATTTTCCATCTAACGAGTATTGACTGGCAGCTCTGTAGCACTGCTATCAGTGTTGCAGTGTGTCATGAAACAACAACAGGAAGTAAACACTGATGTCATAAATTAAATATTCTGTTTGTAGCTAACATTATTATAATGGATGTGTGTAATCCTCATCTTATCATTTTATCACTGGGTCTTTGCCAGTATCAGTGTCCTGCCTGTTCCTTTAAACAAATGTATAGTGATGTGATGTTACAGCCTGTGGGGAACAAATGCATCATTACTAACAGGCTGTACAGGTCTATATGGTAGTGACTGCAGCATGCATGTTTAGTTAGATGTGGAGTTAGATCTGAGCATGAAGGAGGACAGAGTCATGAGTGCAGCCGATGAACTGAACAAGAGGGACTGTACAACTGAGGGACTGTACAAATACATTTGAACCAGTAATAGGAATTCTCATGCTCATAATGATCAACACTTTGATCTGGAAGGTTTAATTTCTTATCATCCAGCTCTGTGTGAGATTTAAAAATAAATAATAATAATAATTATTATAATAACAATAGTATTAACAATAATAATAATAATAATAATAATAATAATAATAATAATATGGGCTATGGCTGCAGTCAGAATGACAGCTGGAGAGAGTGGACTCATTCAAGTAAAAAATGGATTGGTCTCACAACACTGACGATTGCTCTTCCTGAGGAGACCCAGGGGCCAGTTGCACAAAGCACCTTCACTTAAGATTTCTAATTAAGGTTTTCCTCATAATAAGTCTGGTTGCACAAAACACCCTTAAGTCTTCTCCTTAAGGTTTCCTGACAATCTTCACTTTATTATTATGGTTTTCTCCTTGTCTTGGTCTTATGAATCCGCTGTGAGGGTCCTAGGGACAGAGGGGTGTTGTGTGCTGTAAAGCCCTGTGAGGCAAATTGTGATTTGTGATATTGGGCTTTATAAATAAAATTGATTGATTGATTGATTGAATCCCTAGACCACTACACAAAAGACCCTAGCAACCAAAGCATAATAAAAAAAAGGTACCTCCGACTCTATCTAAACTGCAACATGACCAAGTTTATGGTGATAAATGAAAAAAACTAACATACCGTGAGAAGAGTGTCTGTGACCCAGTGGATATGTTTTTGATTTTACACTTCAGATTTGACTGAATTCTTTTTCTGTGCAATTTTTTCCTACAATCATTTTCTGTTTTTTTTTTTTTTTTTTTTTCATATTTGGGGATCATTTACTTTGTAGTGTGCGCTTTCTATGATTGTATTCTTCCAAAAGTTTAATCTGTTCCTCCTCTGACCAATATGGTTTTATTGTCTTCTTTTCTTCTCCTGTTTTTTCACTAACAGTACAAGTCAGCTTTGTGAGATGAAAACAGGCGAGTCCAAACAAACAATCGTTTGTTTCTGTTACAGTTACAGCAACACTCATTTTACCATATCACTTTTTGTCTACAGTACTCTTGTATAGTTTTTTTTATTCTATTCTTATTCTAGTTTATGAAACTCTTACATTTCTGTATTATTTCTGTTGCTTTTTCCAGTTATCTGTATCTATGTATATCTTTGTACTACTGAAACAACTTAATTTCCTTGCTAGGGATCAATTAAGGTGTATCTTCATCTTAACTTCAATCTACAGTGCAGATCCACATGCCCACAGTGATTGAAATTTTAGGCTGAACTATAAGGCATACAGGCACAAATATTTAAACCACATGTTCCAAAGAACCATATGGTCATCAATATCTTCTCACAGAGGAGCAATGTACTTATAAAGTGATTTATAAGTTCATCAGCAGACTTTAACTTTGTGAAAGACATGACCCTAACACGCTGATGTGGGTGTATCCAGTTGCAGCCTGTTAGTCCAACATGGTTGGCACGTAAATTTTTGTGATCGAAAGTTCTCAGAAGCCAAAACAACTAGATAAACCTGAGAGCAGACTCTAACATACATGATCGAATGAGACAGTTTCACAACCCTACACATACATAGGCAAATAATATTGCTACAATAATACCTGTGTGTGTGTGTGTGTGTGTGTGTGTGTGTGTGTGTGTGTGTGTGTAGGTGCATGTTACATGCCTGTTCGCCATGCAGAGCATACATTCGTTGCTATAGGTCTGTCCATCAGTGCCACATACTGGAGCATACTCCCTGGTGCAAATTGGTAGTGCATACTGCTCACAGTCAGGCTGGACACAAACACAGGTTGTCATATGATTATTGATAAGACACTCAGGCATTCAGATTTTAATCATTGTTCATTGAATCAAATTCTAAAAAAAATTGCACCTCTTGGACTTGTGCATTCATCAGTGTTTACAAGACATTTAATGTTTCTTGCCTTTATGTTACTGTCCTCAGATTCAGTAGCAAGAAATTCCACAGTTTAGATCCAGAACTACAGAAAGCAGCTGCACTATCTGTAGGTCTGTCTTAGTTTTTGGTACTGTGAGTGGCAGATTCTCTGTGGAAATGAGGGTCTACTAGGAACAGATCCAAGGTGTCAGGGTCAAGTCTTTAAGTACATTTAAAGATGAGAACAGGAATCTCAAAAGTAATCCTAAAATTTACTGGAAGTCAGTGCAGAGACAGAGTGCAGAGTTAGTCATAAACAAACATTGAAGGAATTGAGCCCACCTGTAATAGTTGTTTTATTTAAAAAAAAAAGAACTAAATAAGATTAATCTCTTTTTAAATGGAGCCCCTAAAGTCCTGAAAGATTATATTTTTTATTTGGTGCACACAAGTTAATTTCTTGTGGGAACTAGTTATTGTCTCTTGCGTTCGCACAAGATAAAAAAAATCTCACTTTTCAGGACTTTTGGGGCTCTGTTCTTTTACTACAAAGACCTGAAAACAAATAACATATTTTACATCACTTACCAGTTTATTAGGTACACCCAGCTAAAAGTAATTCAGTCCAATACAACAATATTATTTTTAAAATCAACCCTTTTATCTTTTTTCAATCTGTAAACCAGTCGTGAAAATAAAAATACGGAATCAGATCACCCCCAGCAGTCTCACCTCTCTAGGTTTCATCCTGTCATTGTTGCCTGGATTCACAGTCTCAGCCTGCAGGGACAGGACTACACACACACACACACACACACACACACACACACACATTTTTAGTTCTATACGTGTGAGAACCATCATTGATATAACACATTCCCTAGCCCCTTACCCAATGTCCAATCCCAACCCTCACTCTAAACCTAATTATAACCTGAACCTCGAAAGTAAGTCTGAACCACTCACACATGCACACACGCATGCACACACAAACACTATCTATCTATCTATCTATCTATCTATCTCTCTCTCTCTCTCTCTCTCTCTCTCTCTCTCTCTCTCTCTCTCCCTCACCCTTCACCCAAAACAAGTCATTCTGTGAGAATGTAATGTAACCAGCTTTTTGTCCAGAAGAATGTAACCTGGCCAACTCTCATGTTCCTCTGAACGTCCTCTGTTTTTGTTGATCTTTGTGTTTTGCTTCTGTCTGGGGAAACAATGTTAAAACTAAAGATGCTACTTTTAGCTGTGAAAGAAGTGTCTGTTTTAGAAAGCAGGATTAGTGAAAGCTCTGAGTATGTTGAGCCTGAGATGAAAGCCAGCTCAGCGAAACCCTCAGTCAGTTAGCCTACTATTACTATGGATGAAGCAAACCTGCTGGCTCGCAGGTTTGCGATTATCAAAGTATTTGCAACGGAGCATCGGTGGATTAGTGGATGGAGCGGACGCCCTATGATCAGACGCCCAGCGCCTGATGCAGCGGCTGCGGTTTCAAACCCAGCCTGCAGCCTCAAGTGCGTCGTTCCCTCTCTCCCTCAACATTACACTGTTTTGCCATTAGATGCAACAAAAGCCCCGAAAATAATCTTAAAAAAAGAGGAATTCCAAAGAACTGCAGGTTTGTCAGTGTTAATAAGAAATTAATCTACGTTACATGATGCAATGATTCATGAATCCTACTTTTCATATAAAGATTCCGCTGTGTAATTGGCTCATTTATGGGACTTAACATCGCATAATAGCTCCATCTGAGCATAAAGGAGACTTCTGAGAGAATCAGAAGTCATTTCACAGCAGTTCAGCAATTCAGTTAACCTCAGCCTAATATTGACAGAATGAAGAAAGTATGAGCAAAACATTTACCAGTCTGTTTAATATCTTTGTGTTTGATTTTGAGTTGCTGCCCAGTGCGTTTGGGCTCCATCAGATTACATCTGAATTAGAGGATACAACAAATTATATTAAAATATGAACTCTGAGTAATGTTTCTGTATTTTCTGTATATTAGACACATTAACACATCACATCACTTCACATTACCTATTACCACACTCTGCAGTCTGTTCCCACCCCACCTCACACTGTTTAGCTGCAGCTGACGTGTTAGTTTTTTGTTTTGTCGGTCGTTAAAATCTCCGACTCAGTTGGGATGAAACAAGCGGCTTTCTGCTTTTGGCCACTGAATATCACGTTATCTGCACTCCAATGACGATGTCTTTCGGTGCTCGCCGTGAACGCGCGAGTACTCAGAGTTGATTGAACTGATTCTGATCAGCTGTTCAGGAACCGAAAACTCTTTGTCAAACCGGAGATCGGGATAAGGCTCTGAGTTTGTTGAGCCTGCTTCCTGAAATAGGGCCCTGGTCTGAGTTCATGACCGGTATCAGTGGTTTCTGTGTGTTATTTGATTGGTAAATAAACCTGTCTGCTTGAACCAGGTCAAATCAGCCATGGGAAGATGACATCTGAACCACAGAGTTAGTGTCTTTAGAAAACAACAACTGAGAAAAAATGATTCACCAGAGTGAAGGTGTTATGTCATGCCACGGCTCCTAAACACAAATATTTTAACTTGTATTTATTTTTAACTTAAAAAACAAAACAAAACAAACAGACACACATCACCCCTCTGGTTAGTCTACATAATAACATCAGTTTGATGTGACAGACCCTGTAAAAAGAAACAACTTTTTCTTAAGTTCATTCAACTTCAAATTTTTAGGCCTTAAAATTTTAAGTTGACTGAACCTGATTCATAACAAGTGAACTTTTCTAGTCAGGTAAACTTGATCTTAATTCAGTTGTACTTATATCTTTTAGTTCCATAACTCAAGGATATAGGCATTAATATCAAGTTTATGTGACTAGGAAAGTTCATTTGTTTTAAATCATCACAAAATGACTATTTAAGTTAAGTCAACTTAAAATTTTAAGGCAGCTTGGACACTAACTGTTTTAAGCAAAAACAACTTTCACTATTTTACAGTGTGAAGATGCATGATATCAATATTTTAGGTCAAAATATTGAAAAATCAAAATCATTTAGACACACAAAGAAGTAAAGCAGGTTATCCCTATATTAAGCTGTGATCACCAATTGTAATGTTCTTACACATTCCAGTCTCTAAACAATACATTGACCAAAAAAACCTCTATCTCAGCAAGTCAGCAAGTCAATTCCTGAAATATTGTCTTCTTTAAAAAGTGGGGTGATATTATTTTATCTTTTTTATTTTTTTCATTTTGTCTGTGTTTGGCTTTCTTCTGTACTGTTTTCTATGCTAAAAATTCCCATGTTACAACAAAACTACACTAGGAACAAGTGGACACTTCCTACACTTTGAGCTGTTTCTGCTTCAAAAGGAACACAGTGTTTGAAGCAGATAGTGACACAGAGTGACTTGTTACAATCATGTTACGATGCTGTTAATGAACTCACCAGAGACAGAGAGCAGCAGAGCAGAACACAGCAGTACAGTCAGCTTCATGGCTTCCAGTGTGTTTCTTCGGGCAGCAGGTGTGTGTCTCACACATTGTGTTTTCCTTTTATAGACAGCCTGTCAATGATTAATGAAATGCTACAGATTAGATGACGCAAAGAGAATGTTTGTGGTCATTCTCATTAGGGATGTGCTCCCACCCACATGAACATTAACGTCAGACATAAAGTGAAGACAACACTAATGTATTTGCCACTGAAAAATGCAACAGTGCAGCAGTGATGACTTGTGTCTGTCTCAGCCTTCCATCAGCAGTCTCCCACTGTGACTCAGTTAATTTCATTTCCACTGGATGTCCACACCCTGCAGACTCACAAAATGACAACCAATCACACCTTTTTTAAAGAATGTTCTCACGAAAGTTAAAGTTTCTGTCCCTTCCTCACACAGAGTTGCTCTGAGAATTTTTCTTAATCAGTCCTAAGCTAGGACTTCTTACTAGAAGTTTTAGGCTGAGTTGGGGGGAGTTAGGGAGAGAGTGTTCTCAGAATACTCTTGTGAATACAGCCCCTGATCATCTGATAACACGACTGGACAAAACAGTAACAGCCTGGATAAACAAATTTCTAGTTTTAGCTGCAGGCAAGAATATAGTGGCCAGGCTGATGTCTGGACTGTTAGAGAGAGAACTAGATTCAAAGTTTTAGCATGAGTACGTTACCACACAAACAACATGTGACTGTCACACACAGGTCAACTTAAAAGTTCATCCATGACAGTGGAAATAGTTTAAGATAAATAAACAGTAGTTTGACAAACTAAATTAAATGAAGCCCTGTGTAGGTTCAATCAGGAAGACTGTCTGGGGGGAGGTTCCCTATTCGACTATGGATTCATCACCCTCCCTAAATCATACCATCTCTACAGGGTCTAATCGCCAAAGACTTTCCACATTTTTATTATTATGTGCACATGTAACTAAATATTCTTTTACTATAAAAATGAGTCTCTCCTGGTTGAATTAAAGATCCACTTACCAGTTTATACTAAAGGTGTTTTCACACCTGACCTGTTTGGTACGGTTAAAACAAGCTCAGGTCCGTTTGCCTGGTTAGTACAGTTTGTTTGGGCAGTTGTGAAAGCTGTCAATCGAACCCTGGTGCAGACCAAACAGCTGAAGTGAGACTGCTTGAAAAGGTGGGTCTCGGGGCATCAGTGGCTTTGTGGATAGAGCAGGCGCCCCATGTACAAGGCTGTTGCC